GGATAAAAATTCTGCCTCATTTACTTTATTTGAGGCACTTCCTCTGTCAACCTGGCCATCATGCCATGAGGAAGCAAAAACTACTTATGAGATGACATTATACAAAGTCTCTTTTCTGATAGGAATCAAACTCCTAGTCAAGTTAGTAAAAAAAACCAACTGCTAGAGATGTGAATGAACAACGCTGCCAATGGTTTGGCTTCACAGCTTTTTCAAGCTGGCACTATAAACCTTATGAAGCTGAAGGAACCATCCTCAACTTATTCTGTCTAAATCCCTAACCCAGAATTTTTAAGTGAAATTAAATAATCTGTATTCACTAATGTTGGTGGCAGGGAGTCACGTGGTAGGCAGCATTAGATAGCTGGACTAAAGTGTTTCTACATGACAAAGTTTGAGTCTTTGATATTTGAGGCCTGCAAGTTGAAGTTTGTACCTGCAGATCTCAGTATACTTCTGATAAGATAGACAGGGAAGTCAAGGAAAATGAGATATGTAATTTTGTTTTCACAGTCAATAAAGGAGTCTTTGCTTTCTCTTTTTTTTTTAACAATAGCATACTGTAGATTTTCCAATGGCCTGGAACAATTAATAGTCCCCAAATAGTCCAAAATTAATGTTTTGACCTTTACTTGGCAAATTCTCACTCTTCTGAAAGGCTTGGGATTCACATGAAACATAACATTCACCTAGAAGTCTATTGATGATTACATTTTAGTGAATTTACAACACTATATTCCAGTTTTATGCTTCACTAGGCTGTAAGCTTCCTGTGGGCATCATTACATATCTATCTCAAAATAAATTAATAAATATCAGTTGGATAAATGGGTATATTAGTCAACAAATGTTCTTCTTCGCCTTTGCTGAAAGGTGGATAGATTGAAAGAATACAGTTTGGAAAATTGGGAAATAGATATTCAGAAATTACAGAATGATGACTAGGTGTCAGGAGATTCAGGTTTAAGTTTTGGCCATTTCACTCAGTGGTTGTATGGCCATAAACCTGTCACTTCACATTAGTACTATATTTGAAATGAGACATGTGCATCTTTGTCTAGGGTAAGGCTTTTCAATTGTACATTATTGGCATTTTGGAGTGCACTGTTCTTTGTTATTAGGGGCAGTCCTGTCTTCTATGGATTCTTAGCAGCAATCTTCACCTCTACCCATATAAATGCAATACACACACACACACACACACACACACACACACACACACACACACACACACACACACACACACACAGAGTCAAACATTCCCAGAGGGAACCAGCATCTAAGAATTGCTGGTTAAAGAAAAGGAAGAAGATGCTGGTGCTTGTGGCTTACTCCTATAAACTCCTAAGAGGTTGAAATCTGAGGATCATTCTTTGAAACTAGTCCTGGAAGACAAATCCTCAGACTAGAAAAATGTATTGCACACTATGTTGAAAATGAACTTTACAACTTGGGGGGTAGGGAGGAGTTGGGGAGGTGGGGAGGGAAGTGATAGTAGGGGAAAAACAATAGGAAATGTACTCATTACCATACTCATATAACTGTAACCCCTGTGTACACTACCTTTACAATAAAAAATGTATTAAAAAAGAAAAACATATTACTCCCAGTAAGTAATTTATATTTACTATACTATACTACACACTCTAAAAAGCAGTAATTAAATGTTCTCACCTATTATGAGAAAAATGAGTTTTAAGCACTTGCAATTGAAGTTGTCAAAATATATCCAATATCACTTTAGAACTTTAATGTTAACTAAATCAAGTTAAATTTTATCTTAAATATAGACTGTATGTGCATTAAGGACATTAATAATACCACCATGGATATTGTAAGTCATTCCCTGAGCAATTTGTATTTCTTAATGTAGAAAAACACCAGGAAGTAGGTGTTTGGGATTTTTTTTTGGGGGGAGCAGTATTGGGGTTTGAATTTAGGGACTCATTATGTACTAGACAGGCTGTCTACCACTTGATCCACTCTCCTAGTTGAAATGGTATTTAATAAAGGAAAAATGTTAATTTTCAAATTCTTTTAAAATACTATCTTAATATTAAATGTGTTTGTTTAGGAATTTGAAAATGAATATTTTTGACAAACAATATTTTCCAGCTGTTAAGAAGGATTTGATGAATTTGGATTTCTTAACAGTGATCCAACATTCTCAAGTGATTAGGCATATGCTAGGAATAACATCAACCTTGTAATGACATTCAGTGAGCAAAGAGCAATCACTTACCACAATTTTCTTTATTCATTTATTATTTATACTGTGCTAGCTTCCAATAATTTAAGATGATTCACCTGGCCTTTAAACACGGGAGTGATAGAACAGCATTGAGTATAGGAAAAGCACAAGCTTTTGGAAGTAGACACATGTAAGTTTGATGGAAGTTTGCATCTGGTCCCTTCAGTACAGTTCCTATAGAACCTTGGTCAAGTCACTTATCCTACTTTTGGAATAGTATATTTCATCCTAATAACCAGAATGACTCCTTGTATCTAGCTTGTGGCTAGACCTTGATTAGTTACTTTTCTTCTTCTGCCTGAATGTTTAATTAGACTTTAAGAAAATAAAACTGTTTTCTTATTTTTTTAAATTTCTTTTCTAGTTTTCTTAAACAGAGAAGAAAAATGAGACAGCTTTTAGGAACTCTCTCTCCTGTGGTAATATCACTAAATGTAATTAGATGTTACTTTCCTTATGAAAACAATTTCTCTGAAGAATGTAGAGATAACAACTTGTGTAAATGTCCTGATGTTTGGTATGTTAAAGAATGAAAGGTAAATTTAGGTTATGGAAGGTAGTCAAATCTATCATGGTTTGGGGCCCTAGGGCAAACAAATTTGGAAAGTTTTATGCAATAAACATGCTTTAAATATAACAAATTAAAATGTTGTTAGTAAACTTAGTGAGTATTATAATTAATCTGTTGATGTTCTATCTATAGAAAGAGGTCTCACTATACGAATGTACTTAATAAATAAGTATATACATAATATCTACTTACAATTAGTCAAATGACAGTGGAAAAGAAAAGAAGAGGTATGGTCTAAGAAACTCTAGATAGTCTACCCAAAAGAACCAGTCATAGAAGTCTCTATCATTTACAATTTTGTGACCTGGACCCTGGACCTCAGGCTCCTCATGAATGAAAAGGAATAGAGTAAGAATTTTTATAAAGATTAAGCAGGATAATGAATCTACAGGGTTTAGAAGTTGCTGTATGACTGTGATGGCTTCAACTTCCAAATGATCCTCTATAATGTGTGAATAGCTGAATATTTGAGTATTTAATACATTTACCTCTATCACTCTTTAAAATTTATAGGTCTGTATTTTAAACCAATATAAAAGAATCTATGCATTAAATATTTTTTCCAATTAAAGTGTAAGATTCATACAGCTATAGTTGTTCAAAATGGCACTGAACTTTCTTTTCCAAAGCTATTATAAAGATGAATTTTAAAGCTCCACAAAAAAGTTGTGTAAAATTTTTATTTGTTTTTGAGCAAAAAATGAAGCAAACCACCAAAAAAAAAAAAAAAAAAAACCTGGCACATCAAATGCTACTCAAGAAAGATAGCTGTCTGTAAAAATAAAAGATAATCCCATCCACATGGATAATACAGATAACAATCAAATAATAATCATCTATCATGAAATTATGAATGCTGTTTTTCGTCATTATTCACAGTAAAGAATTATTAGTATTTTATGAAAACAAGATCAAGACATAGAGGAGGTTTCAATGAGTGACTGAAAATTAAAGTAAGATGGAAAGAAAGATAAGAATCTAATCTTGTATATTTCTAAACAAACACAACTACTGGTGGTATAAATGGGAATGGATTTAGGTAAGGCAGTTCCTAGGATCTTAAAAATAAAAGAACAATAATGAAACTAGGAAAGTCAAAAAGAACCTTATCTCCTGAGAGGCATGATGGAACACGTAACTCCAGCACTTGACATGCTAAGGCAGGAAGATTTTGAGTTCAAGGCCAGCCTAAACTACATAGTGAGTTGGAGGCCAGCCTAAAGTACATAAAGAAACAAAACATAGCCCTACAATTTTCATCCTGGATTCTCTTGGGTTGTGGGGTAAAGGAGTCATATCTGTTTTCTGGGCCTGGAATAAATTAGACATCATATGAAGACTATGATAGTGGCGTGCTTCTGTTTAGGCATTAGATTAAGGTGATGGTGATGGGTACTATTTGATACTAGTCTTTTTGGGGTGATGACTCTAGAGTCATTTGACAGTATTACTGATGGCTCATAATTGCTCTCGGGTGAGTAACTTTTCATAAAATACATTTATACCCACATCTATCTATGTATCTATTTATCTACCTATCTATCTAGCAATTCAGTACATATATAGCATGTGATACAACATTTTCAAAAGTGTCTAGGACTATATCCAAGAATTATGCACATTGCCATTTCTGCATTGAAATAAAAGGATCACATCAAAAACTACAAAGCCTCTAAAAGTCTTCCATGAGTTTAGCTCTGGATTTTCCACCAAATATACTTAGTTCAAGTAAGGATTTGATGTTGGAATACTTAACTCTAATTTTTCCTTATTAATAGTAACACAGACATTTTTATTTCCAGAACATTTTGGAGTTTAGAATTTTAGATAAGGGGCAATGGACACTTATTTGTAGATATGATCCTATTTTCTCAACCTCATCTCATTTATCTCATCTCACTTATGGTCCATTTAAAAAAGAAACTTGGAGCTTGTTAACTAGTCAGAGACTAAGGTACAATAGTTGCCAGGCTTAAAAAATCCTGGCTATCAGTAATTACCCAAGTGCCAAAGGATTCTTGTACAAGTTTCAAGTGTCTGAGTAATGGGAAACACACACACACACACACACACACACACACACACACACACACACACACACACACACACACACACACACACACACACACACACACACACACAGAGTTCTTTTGGACTTGATAGAAAATGCCATTATCCATGCTTGCTTCAACAGCACATACACTAAAACTGGAATGACACAGAGATTAGCATGGCCCCATACAAGGATGACATGCAAGTTCGTGAAGTGTTCCATATTTTTGCAGAGTGCAATGGATTTTGATGAAAGTGATCTATATAACTAATGGGTAAAAGATGGGAGGGAGGGAATGGAAAAGAATATGGGAACAGATGACAGTATGTGAAAGGAAATGTACCTATTACCTGATGTATGTAAAGTAATCTTGCTGTATATCACCTCTAAAAAACAATAAAGTAAATTAGGAAAAAAAAGAAAATGCCATTATTCACAATATGAAATTTAGATTGTTCTTTCTGCCATATTCAACAATAATGACCAGTAACAGTAACCAGATAACAGTAATGTGATCATGTATACACTGAGCTGAAAAAGTCTATCATGCGTTGTTTCTTCATATCCAAACAAAATGCCCAAACCGTTAACTAATTGCTCACTCTTGATCCTCATTTTAGTGATCATGACCAGCAGGGTTGTTTAAAAAGACCAACGCAATTATGTGGCAAAATAGATGCTATCATGGTCTGAGTCAGTCTGTCTGCATGTTTCCTTGCTTCTTCCTCTTTATCACGGACTGCTCTGGTTCAGCTTCTTACTAGGCAATTGGAATCAACTCACATCTGTTTTCATAGATTTATCTGACTTTAAATTAGATGCCACTCCCTGTTATTTAAAAAATAGGAAAAAATAGGTGAGAAAAAGAGAATACTATTAGTGAAAAGTACACAGCAGAAACGTAGAATGCTTAAGAATGTTGGGAAGAGGGAACTCAAAATAAAACCATGCACCAAAATATTAAAATGGTTAAGTATTTTATAAATTGCACTAAAATATTTATTTAAATAATGTCTTTTCCCCTGAAGATTTCATGGTGAAATACTATTTTTTTAGTCAAGGCAAGTTGTGAAAAGTAAAAAAAAATAAGTTATAATAACTCATAAGTATATGGAAATCACAAACTGAAGATTCATTACTTAGCTCTAAAACATAAAGCCAATTAAAATATTGTTTTGTTTCTGAGAAAAAAGTGCTTTGTTGTGGTTTTTCCTTTTTTTTTTTTTTGGTTTGGCTGTTTTTTGTTTTGTTTTGTTTTGTTTTTCATAGTAGTGGGACAGTACCGGAAATATTACTTGCTAAGTAAACATTCTAACACTGGAGCTGTCCCTCAGTCTTTTCTTATTTTAATTATTTGTCAGTTAAAGTTTCAAGTGTTTTCACATATGGCCTGGACCAAGATTCTCCTTATCCATAGGCTCCCCATGTAGCTAGTTCATAAGTACATATCATGAGGACTAGTTTATTGACTAAGATGAGATTTCATACACTTTTCGCCCTGCCTAGCCTTGATCCATCATTGCCTTCTAAGTAGCTGGGATTAGAGAAATGGTTCATGTGGCATGAGACAAAGATTTTAATAGGCCAAGTTTCCACTTACAGATTAATGTCTTCATGCTGAAAGGTCTATTTTCAAATAATGACTTAGAAATTAAAGATATTTACTAAAGTATTTTGAAAACTATTTTCAGGGGCAGAAAATTAGGGTAGACATTTCTTAGATCTTTCATCAGTGTCATACATCTTCATAATTATTATAATACCATCCCTTGTATATAGCTTTGTTTTTGGAGTATTTTTACTTCTAGCTAAGCAGAATTCTATACTTAATGTAAAGACAAATGTTCTAGGTATACATGCCACATGGAGTTGGTAGTATTTTTATGTAAGTGGCCAGGAACCTTTGGTTCAGGCCTGTATTCTCAACTACACAGGAGGCTAAGATCTGTAAACTATGGTTCAAAGCCAGGCCCAAAACTAAGTCTGGAGATTCTATCTACAATTAACCAGCAAAAACGATGCATTGAAAGTATGGTCCAAGTTGAGCACCAACTATAAGTGAAGAGGATGAGTAAAAGGAGGAAGCCCTGAGTTCAAACCCAGGCACAACACATGTGTAAACATGTGTACATACACACGCACACACTCACGCACACACACAGAGATTACAAATGTCCAAAAGGTTAAATGATCTATTCAATATTAATAGTGATATAAGGTCTTGATATCTGACTACAAGTTCAATGTTTTTAAAAGCTACAAAAAACTTGTGTTTTCCAAGATAAAATTATATCCTAAACTGCAAACAGGAGAAACAAGTAAGTGACAGAAATACCTTAAGAAATATTTCTATGGCAGATTTTCCATCTTTATGTAATCTTTATTTAGAAGGGAAATGCCTCCTAGCATTAAGATTGTTATAAAAATATTTTAAATAAACTATGCAAACAATGGAAAATGAGAGGATCTTTGTACTGTGGGGTCTTTTTTTTTTTTTTTTGGTGAGGGGTAGTACTGTGGATTGAACTGAAAATCTCCTGCATCCTAAGCAAGTATTATATCACTTAAGGCATGTCTCCAGTCATTAGACTTTTTGAGCTTTATTTTTTCAGACAGACCTTAGGCTACAATCCTATTATCTCTACTTCTTGAGTAGTTGGATTATAGGTAGGCACCATCATACAAAACAAAACAGAAATATTTTAATTAGTGTAGACTGAAATACAGGACATTGACCATGATGGTCATTTTCTTATTTTTGAATGAAATATGCTAAGTAAATGTTGAATGTTCAAGAATAGATTTAATTTCTTTCCACAGGAACCATGTTTATGAAAAATTAACTGTTAATGATTTCAAATAATACCTTCTGCTTCATCATTAAATAATACTAAAATACAATTAATCCTTTCACAAAAAAATCCTTTGTCAGTAAATATTTTCTAGTGCTTTAGGAGTAATGATAAATTTCACAAGCAAAGGAAATTAACATACGAAGCTTTGTGGATATGGTTATGTCTATACCTTGATTTTTAGCCAAGACTCCTTAACAATTTGAAGGAAGGTTTGTTGAAACTGGGGCTTGAACTCAGGCCTGGGTGCCATTATCCCTTAGTGTTTTTGCTCAAGGCTGGTACTCTACCACTTGTATTAGAGCTCTATTTCTAGATTTTTTTTGTGGGTAAACAGAGGTAAGAGTATCATGGACTTTCCTGGCTGGCTTACAACTGTACTTCTCAGATTCCAGCCTCTTGTGCAGCTAGGATTACATGCATGAGCCATTTGTTCTGAGACCCAAACACTTATTGTTTAACTTTCACTAACAAAGCAATGTTGCTTTGACTTAATTTACTTGTTAAATTTGCACTTTCTATAACATAAAGGTTCTAGGACTTAACACATTTAGGTTAAATTCCTTCTGTGTCACTTATTTAATATATGAATGACCTTGGGCTAATGACCATTTCTTTGTGTCCTAGATTCCTTACAAGTTTGTTGTGTATATTTCAAAAGGTTCATGAACCATCATCCCTAACATGGTAGTTATAATTATGAATAAACTTTTTATAGAGGATAACCTATTCATTTTGTTGGAAACATATCAAATGGTATTGAAATTGGGCTGAGGTCATCAACACAAAAGATATTATTTTACATCCTTTTGATTGGCAAATACACAAAAGAGTTCTGGAATGAAAACATCCTTTCCTTGAAATCACTTGAGAATGAAAGTGTCACTGAATTGTAAGTGCTTTATGCTTCAACTGGATAGCAAATTTCACAATGACTAGGGACCATGTTTGTTTGTTTTAACACATATCCTAACATAACACTGCTCAAGTACATGATACAAATATCTGATGAAATACAATAAATAGGTTAATGAAGAAGTTCATGTCAATCATAGAAGATACAGAAAGAATTTAAATGAATAATAGGAAGCTGGTTCTGGTGGCTCACACCTGTAATCCTAGCTACTCTGTAGGCTGAGATCTGAGGATCATGTTTCTTTTCAAAGCCAGCCTGGGCAGGAAAGTCTGTCAGACTCTGATCTCCAAGAAACTACCAAAAAGTTCAAAATGGAATTGTGGCTCAAAATGCTGCACAGTATCATTGAGCACAAAAGCACATGGACAGCATCTAAGCACAGTGTTCAAGCCCCAAGATAACCACACAGACACAGACAGAGAGGCAGGAAGATAGACAGACAGACAGACACACACACATATACACACAAGAATGAAGGGACAAAAGACTAAGTTCGAGCAAATCAGAAGAACCTAGCAACTTCTGAGAACCTGGTAAATTCAGAGAACCAAAAGAAATAAAAAGAACTTGACAGAAGACAGAGATGCAGGCTCCAGGAAAAGGAAGACAACATAGAAGTCACTGAATGAATGAATGACAGGACTGAAAAACTCAAGAATGAGTGATCCTGTTCTATAGCATGTTTTAGATCTGAAGGGAGCAGCTCAAGCCTGATTTAGACAGGCCTAGGGCTAAAAAAGGAAGTTTTGCTTTCTCATACTCCTTTCCAAAGGATCTTTGAGAAATGCCTTTAGTTTTGCATTTAAAGAAAGAAATTCTTCCTCAAAGAATTATGGTAGGACACAGTAAGTAAAAAGGATGAAGCTTCAGAACTTTCAAAAAAAAGCAGAATGATCCAGAGTCTAAGAATAATTTTTATAGAATCACGTTGAATGAAAGTGAACAGTGACCACAATGGCTATAAGATTCAGTTATTTACTGATAAGGCAAATACATTTACTTGTAAGATTAATGTACTTTCAAGATGGAAAATTACTTTAAGTTTTGGGTAATTTGTGTCTTAAGGTACCTCGACTTTATCTACTATTATCCTACTATATTATATACTATTATCCACTTTAGTACTTACCATATAGTAAGTACTATTTGTTAAGAATCCCATAGAAGGGTACATCAGATCCTGTACAGAAATGTCTGGTAAGCCTTCAGAGTGGGTACTGCTTTGGACTGTGCTACAACACAGGGTTCAGATTCTAATACAGGCAGAAAGCAGACCAGGACATATGAGATGTGGCTGTCACCTCTCTGTCCTACTTAATATTCTCTCATCCTTCATTAAAACCAATGTGTTTTGCGGAGTAATGGCTAGGTTAACTCCTTATGAAAGCTGGTCTGGTTCCAACTTGAAAGATGCTGTCAGTTCAAGTTATTACTTACCCTTACAATAAATTTCAAATTTC